CCCAGATGTTTCAAATGTCAACGCATGGGACATGTAATTTCGCAATGCAATAGCAAGCAAAGATGCGTCAGGTGTGGAGAAGACCACCCTTTCGACCAATGTCCCAGAAAATCTAATCCCTTTTGTGTTAACTGCAAAGGAAACCACTCAGCAGCATTCAAAGGATGCATCGAAGCCAAAAACGCAAGAATTGTCCAAGAAATCCGCTTGGAAAAGAAAATAAGTTATGCCGAAGCCACGAAACATTTCAAAGAGGCAACAAAAGTAGAGGAAAAAACTAACTCTAAGGAATCGAGCACAAACGGCAATAGTAAAGTACCCACAAACAAAGAAAAGAAAGAAACAAAGAGTAAAACAATTCCCACACAAAGCAGACCAAATACAGACCCTACACAACACATTGAAATAGAAAACAATCAAAGCGAAAGTTTTATTACCCCCTCCGTATTTGTAGAACAGGGGAGAATTCAACATTCCAACAGCGGTGGTCACGGTAAACCCAACATCATTACCACAGTCAAGAACACTGATCTCCCAGGGAGAAGTCACATCTCCCTGGATCTCCTAATGTTTCTTTTCCGCGTCATAGAAATAATGCAACAAGACATCCCACAAACACAAAAGATGAACAAATTTCTCGCAGAAGCCCAGACATGTCTCAATATATTACCTGAAGAGCTAGAAATAATGAAACACCATGGAGAACATAATTAAAATTCTCCTTTTCATGGCGGCACTATCCATACTACAATGGAATGCCCAAGGTCTCCAAGGGGGGCACGGGGACGAACTAGTTCAATTGCTACTGTCACGCAGGAATAACCCTTACCATATATTGTGCATTCAAGAAACGTGGTTTACAGAAAATAATATATTACAAATACCAAATTATACATGTATACCACGCAACAGAAAAACCGGAGTGAGAGGCGGATGCGCCATTTACGTACACAACTCTGTATATTTCAAAAATATAACACTCCATAATACCTTTGAATTGCAAACTATTCAACTGCACCTCAAAACTTCCTGCATGACAGTAGTAAATTATTACAATCCATGTCAGCGATTAGACATAGATACCCTTAAGGCCATCATTCCAGAATATGCTACCCCAAAGTACCTGCTAATCCTAGGAGACTTTAACAGCCACAACTCATTATGGGGCAGTAACACTACCGATGTAAATGGCCGCATCATAGAAGAATTTATTGAAAATAAAAATATTATAATACTAAACGATGGATCAGGTACGAGAATGGATCACCATACGGGAAAATTATCCTGTCTAGACCTAAGCTTAGCAACACCCTCCATAGCTAATAGATGTCAGTGGAATGTAAAGCAAGATAAGTTAGGAAGTGATCACTTCCCTATAGAAATACAAATCAATCTACATCCTGTAGAAGAAATACATGAAAGAGAATATACAAAACGAAACGAACCATATCTTAGTTACAAAAAAGCAGACTGGAAAGCATTTGAACAATTATGCGACACAGAACTATCCAATATAACTCCAAATGAAAACACAGAAGAATACTACAACGAATTCATAAACGTCACAAAGAAAATTATGAAGGAAACCATACCAACAGTAACAAAAAAACATAAACCACACAATCCATGGTGGAATGAAGACTGCCAAAAGAGAATTAAAGAACGAAACAAAGCCAAAAATAAAGCCATCAAATACATGACGAAAGATTATCTCTACGAATACCTAAATAAGAAAGCCCTTGCACAGAAGACAATAAGAGAAGCAAAAAGACAACATTGGAACAAATACTGCTCCAGGCTTAATAGATTCACTCCGACTTCAGAAATTTGGAAAATGATAAAAAGATACAACAATATCATACCAAAAAAAGAATGCTTACCAACACTAAAAGAAAATGATATAGAATATATTACCGATCAGGAAAAGGTCAACAAGATAGCTGAAGATTATACTTACGTAACTAAACACAAAGTTGACCCTAGCTCCCAACTGTACACTCACGTAGCAAATAATATAGAGAAAATTAAAAATAAAGAACCAGAAAATCTTCCCTCAGTCCTAAACGACAATTTCACACTATCAGAATTAGAAGCAGCAATCGAACGTCAAAATTCCTCCTCTACCCCCGGACACGATAAGATTAAATATTTAATATACCAAAAACTCACGAAATCAGCAAAACAGACCATGCTAAATTTGATAAATCAAATTTGGAGCTCGGGGCAAATTCCAAGGCAATGTAAACACTCAATTATTATCCCAATCAAAAAACCTAACAAAGAACCTCATAAAGTATCATCGTATAGACCAATTGCACTCACAGCTTGTTTCATCAAAATCATGGAAGGAATGGTGAATGTAAGACTACAGTGGTTCATCGAAAAACAGGAAATACTCCCTTCATTCCAAATAGGATTTAGAAAGAATAGAAGCACTACAGATAGTATCGTCAGTTTAGAAAATGAAATACAGAAAAACATAGCCATTAAACAGCATACAGTCGCCATTTTTCTCGACATAGAAAAAGCTTATGATACACTTTGGGTAGACGGATTGATATCAAATCTTTATGATATAGGTATACGAGGTAAAACACTAAACTTTATAAACGATTCTCTAAGAAATAGAACATTCCAGGTAAAAATAGAAAATACACTGTCGCACATAAACAACACAGAAAACGGTCTATCGCAAGGTAGTACCATAAGTCCAATCCTGTTCAACCTTATGCTCTGTCAAATTCCCACAACCCCCTCAGTCTCCATATCTTTATACGCAGATGATTGCGCCATTTGGACTTCAGGACCTAACATTAATTTTATAGTAAATAGAATTCAAAACTGCTTAAACAACCTACAAATTTGGTTCGAGCAAAGGGGCTTTAATCTCTCCGAAAATAAAAGTACCCCGGTGCTCTTCAGCAATAGCAACAGAACAAACCTCCCCGTAATAAAACTTAAAGAAAAAGAACTGCAATTCCAAGCAAATCATAAATTTCTTGGCGTCACGTTTGATAAAAAATTAACATGGAATACCCATATACAAGATATCAGAAACAGATGTAGAAAAAAAATTAATATCCTGAAAAGCGTCGCTCATACAAGTTGGGGAAGTAACACAAAAACATTACTGATGCTATATCGATCTTTAATAAGATCAATGCTAGACTACGGGTGCGAGGCATATGACTCGGCAAGCGAAAGCTCCAAAAAAGTTTTAAACACTATGCAATACATGTCCCTACGTATATGTGCAGGTGCTTTACACGGCACATCCCTCGCCGCCCTACAGGTGGAAATGGACGAGCCCCCTCTTGAGTTAAGAAGGAAAATGCTGACAGAAAAGTATCACGTCCATCTTTCCCGTGTGACAAACCACCCATTAAAACCAAACATCCAACCATGTTGGCAATTTGAAAAGTTAAAGAATAAAAAAGTGAGACAACCTTTTGGTTTGAGAATAAAAAATGAAAAAATAATAGACTCAATTACAGAAAAAGTCATACCACTTCCTATCCCCCCCTGGCACAACTACACTCCCCAAATATCCATTGAACTAACTGAATCAATAAGAAAAAATGATAACCCGAGTGAAATGAGACTAAGAAGCATAGAACTCATAAAATCAAAATGGAATAACAGCCTTCATATATATACGGATGGCTCAAAATCCCCATCAGGCACAGCAGCTGCGTCCTTTTTTGTCCCACATTTTTCAATAAGACAATCTAAACGTCTTACAGACCATACCTCAAGCTACCGAGCAGAGTTAGCAGCAATAACAATTGCCCTATTATGGGTTGAACAACTAAACCTGCACGCAGGGGTTGTGATATTCACAGACTCCCTCAGCGCACTCCTCTCAATGCAATCAATGAAAGGAGATAAGTCAGATAACTTCATAAACGACATCAAGTATATATACACAAGACTGGCATACAAAGGCATTCAAGTCCATCTAGAATGGATCCCCTCTCACTGTGGAATACAGGGAAACGAAATAGCGGACCTTCTCGCAAAACAAGCCCTAACTGAAGAAATACAAATAAATAACAAGCTATGTTTGTCTGAAATGAAAGCAGTATTGAAAATAGAACTATACAAGAGTTGGGAAGAAACATGGCAAAATTACAATAAAACAAACGTAAGACCTTTCAAACCAACAATTCAACATAACTTTGAGAGCACCCTTTTTAGAGACTGCGAAGTCATAATTCGTAGGCTCAGACTTTGCAACATAGGACTAAACGCAGACCCCTCAAAAGTATGGGTATCCCAAACAACCCAACCTGGCCAAGCCAACAAAAATTGTAAATACTGTAACACCCCTGAAACAATAACACACTATCTGATGGAATGTCCAACATATACAATAGAAAGAGCAATGCTGATAATGGAAAGTGATATAACGAGCCCAAACGAAATTATGAAACTCCTAAAATCAACAGAAAGTGCGACCCAGAGAGCACTGATCCGCTTCGTTCGTAGAACGAGGCGTTTTGAGTGTTCCTAAATTTTTTTTTTTTTTTTTTTTTTTTTTTTTTTTTTTGCACATATCGCACGACAACCAAATGCCCTAAGATGTTGATACCTACTTAGATAGAAAAATAAGGTTTTACAAAATGGAAAAATACTAGAAGAGAAAAGGTAAGAAAGAGTAAAGACGGATTGAGGACGGTAAACCCCAAACAAGAGACTCTGGAGATCTACCCCAGAATCCTCTCACCGGCACCAGAGTTGCCTAGGCCAATGATGGCCGAGAAGATTGCGCAATGTACCGCGCCGGTCTGGCAGGAAGGTGCCAATTGCGGTGAGGGGTTTTCATGGACCAGTAGATCTGAGATTATATTATCCAAAAAAAAAAAAAAGAGATGAGTATGAATTTACAAATAGTACCAAAATATAGAAGAAAAAAAAGAAAGAAATAAAGTGAAAGGCGTAAATATTCTAAAAAAGAATGAAACGCCGATAATACCAAACAACAACAACAACAACCGTCGGGGCAGAATTACCAGTAACCAGATAACAGAAGTATAGACTACGCATCGGAGTGCACTACAAGCAACGGAGATCATCACAGCAACCAGCAAAGGACAGCATCGACGGATTCTGACATATAGTGACGACTCTGGTGAGTAGATTTTACTTTAGTGGCGCTGCGAGACTTCGTTCCTGCGCTATTTAATTGACGAATTATCGTTGATATTTGTATTATTGAGTGTGTGACTTGATTCTTGTATTTTGTACGTTAGTTTGTGGTTGACATGTGCGTGCCGTATTTTGGCTTGTACATGTGTACGGCGTAATCACGGACAAGTTCGTGGATCCGCCGAGCTAGTATAACAGGTTAGTATTATTGCTTGTTATTTTTGCTTTTGATTGATTGGAGGTTATATTTTTAGGTTTTTTTCCGTGGAGTGGTGGTTTGAAGGCAGTTTTCTTTGCGATTTTTTTATTATTGGGTGTGGCAAGGGACGCCACGTCGGCACGCCCTAGACGCTATTTTTGCATTCTTCTATTGTGTACCGCACCCCATGGTACCTTATTGTTATACTGGGTTGGAGTTTTTCGGGTGCGTACCTTGTATGAGTGATTGTTTGAGGCTGGGTTTATCCCTTCATTTACCTTGGCTTTGGCGTATTATCTTTGATATTTTTGATTGTTTGGGAGTGAAAGTATTTGCTTGGTGTGATTTAGGGTTCATTCACCTCTTGTTGAAATTGTATTTTCCACCCAATTTCGGAGTGCCGATTTTTTGTGAGTGGGGAGGGAGAGTGAACCACAGTGGTTTGTTATTGCATTGCTGCTGGAATTAAATCATCGCTAATTTAATTAATCATCGCTAATTTAATTAATCATTTTTTGAATTAGAATTGCCCTCTTACAATTAATCAGTTTGGAAGCAGAGTTGCCCTCTTACAATTTTAAGTAACGGGCTTCTCGCTCCGAATGATTTATTGGGTTCAATGATTATCGGCAAGGGCATATAATTAAATATACTGTTAGGGTTTATATTTTATAAATCGTAGTTTAAGTTACTGTAGTGAATACAAATATATATTTAAAAATACAAGTTTATTAAGCTGTTGAATTGGGTCTGAATGTTAAAGCAGTGACATAGTGACCTAATCAACGGCTGTGAATATTGTGTTTGAATATATTGTATTTAAATTTATTGATAGGAAGTTAATTAATTTATTAATCGTAGGGTAAGTTACTCCACCAAAGATATATTGCGGGGACATACAAATATCTTTAAAGAATACAAATTCATTTAAGCGGTTGAATTTAGTCTGAGTGTCCACAGCCAGGGACATAGGGACTTTATCAGCGGCCTTGAATATTGTGTTTGAATATTTGGGTTTGAGTTTGAATTATTTGAGGACAAATCTCCTTCTTTCAATCCAAGTTAGTAAAGAGTTGTTTGGTTGATTGAGCAATTCTTGTGAAATATTGTAATACTAGGTTAGTAAAGAATTGCTTGTTTGATTGAGCAATTCTTGCGCAGTATTGTAATACTAAGTTAGTAAAGAATTGTTTGTTTGATTGAGCAATTCTTGCGCAATATTGTAATACTAAGTTAGTAAAGGATTGTTCGCTTGATTGAGCAATTCTTGCGCAATATTTGTATACTAAGTTAGTAAAGAATTGTTCGCTTGATTGAACAATTTTTGTGCAATATTGTAATACTAAGTTGGTAAAGAATTGTTTGTTTGATTGAGCAATTCTTGCGCAGTATTGTAATACTTAGTCAGTTTTTTTAAGGTTCATAGTCACGTAAAGTGTATACTGTTTCTCCCCCTCGCAGGTCGCGACAGGGCCATTCTAGGCCCCGCGACCAATATGAGACTGTAGGTGAGTCGGATCGCAGAGGGAGTCGCTATGACTCCCCTCGATCGGATCGCCAAGGGAGTCGCCATCGCTCCCCTCGTTCAGGTCGCCGAGGGAGTCGCCATGATTCCCCTCGATCGGATCACGGGGGGAGTCGCCGCGATTCCCTTCGATCAGATCGCAGAGGGAGTCGTTATCATTCCCCTCGATCGGATCGCCGAGGGAGTCGCTATGATTCCCCTCGATCAGATCGCCGAGGGAGTCGCCGTGATTCCCCTCTATCAGATCGTCGAAGGAATCGCTATGATTCACCTCGATCAGATTACAGAGGGAGTCGTCATCACTCCCCTCGATCACATCGCCGAGGGAGTTGCAATGATTCACCTCGATTTAGCGAGCGAGGGAGTCGCTTTGATTCCCCTCAATCAGATCGTCGAGGGAATCGCTATGATTCCCCTCAAACAGATTGCAGAGGGAGTCGTCATCACTCTCCTCGATCAGACGACAGAGGGAGTCATTTTGATTCACCTCAAAACCGGAGGGGGGACCGGTATGATCATAGTAGGGAGCGAGAATATCGCTATTATGACCAGGATTCCCCTCGAAGTCACAGGAGTGACCGTAGTGAGTCAAGAGGCCACCGTCTTAGATCTCCTTCCCCCTACAGATCCCCTCGTAGGTCGCATGATCCGCGTAGACGGAATCAGAGAGGTGAGAGTAGAGAGGGTGTAGAATTCGAATCGCCACCCCATGTGAGGAGGACGATGCACCCACCTACTCGGGACTCACAGTCAAAGTCCGATGAGGCTCCTATCGTTAGGAAATCGAACTTGCCCCCAACCCCTCCGGCACAAAGCGGCTTGGAAACGAGGGTTGCTTCTCTGGAGAGCAAGATGGATAAGATGAAGGGCAAGATGGACTCAATAATTGAAGCACTGAAGACGTCCCTTTCAGTGATAGGGCCCTTACGGACTTCAGTCCAGAGTCTGGTTGAGAGTGTGAGAAAGTCACAAGCTTCTCCCGCCCGCTTCAGCGGGAAATTAGGACATTTTAAATTAGAATGTCCCGAGAGAAGTCCCGGTCTTAAGGTTTCTTTCGTCTCCGAGGATCCAGAAAATGACTCTGGATCAGCATTGGGGTTGGACAAGGGTGGACCAGTGTACAATAATTCGGTAGCATTTGGAAGGGATTCGCCTCCCCCGGAAATGGGGATTAATGGTGTTTCCTCTGATGCTACAACTATAGTGTGAACCCCCATCCCGTTTTGGGTTTGGACAAGGGTGTACCAGTGGACAATAATTCGGTAGCATTTGGAAGGGATTCGCCTTCCCCGGAAACGGGGATTAATGGTGTTTCCTCTGATGCTACGATTAATGATAACATCCACGAATCTAATCAGATTTGTGGCGGCCAGGACAGCATCGGTAAAGTGGAAGTGCCGGGGGAAGTTCCCAACCCGATCTCTAGTAAGAAAGAGCTTCCTTCTCACTCCCCTTCCGTGGGTGCGACCCATGGGGCCAGGCCTCCAACGGAGCCAAGCCCATGGCTGACACCCCCCTGGCCACCGCCTACCGGTCAGAATCCAGACAACCCAAAACTGGACATGGACAGATGTATGCCGCAGTAAGTCACCATCCACTTTTAGTATAAACATATAATTATGGATTGGTGACAAACCCATTCGGGCAGTAGTACACACGACTGCCGAGGTATACTATCATATCCGATAGAATCCGTCGGAACACTTCACCCCGTTCCCCCAGTTGTCAAGACTGTTGTTTTGCATACTGCTGGTAGGAATATGAACATGATTGGAATGATTGTGGGACCGGTTGATTTGATGTTGGGTGGCAGCAAATTCAGTGAACATGTTTGTGTTGCCCCAATCGATGATGACATGTTGTTAGAGGCAGACCTCCTGCGGAAACATCGTGCATACATCAATATACCGGATTCCTTATTAACCCTTTCAGGGCGAGTGTATAGAAATGACCTGTGGCGAAGATGTGAATAAAAAGTATTCTTTGCGAAGTCAGTAACCATCCCCCCGATGGCGGTCAAGCGGGTGCGATGCAATCTCGATTCATCGCTTTCGAGTGACCAATTCATTGTGGAGCTGGATGTAGCCTTGACCGGGTTTGTCCCACATACTCTACATGATGGGAAGGGTTCAATACAGTTGTATGCTCTTTTAAATGGAATAAGGGGAAACTCATTAGTGAAGTTTTCAGAGCCTCTGTTTTAGAACCCACCGAGTCAGATATTCCCGCCTAGAAGATCTGTCAAGTAGATTTGATGGGGGGATGCACACACCCCTTCTGGTCTGCAGGGTCCTTGGGAACGGTCTTCCGAGTCTTTAATCTCAGAAGACTAGGGAATATTGAAGGGCTTGTTGCTAGAATTCGAATGTGTCTTCGCCAAAGACTATTTTGATTTGGGTAATTTTACGACAATTACCCATTCAGTTGACATATTTCAGATATTCACTGATCAGGGCAGGAACTTTCAGAGTAAGCTATTTGTAAACATGGTTCCATGGTGAGTGTGTTGGTGTTACCCTGGCAGAGGGAATGAGTATGAATAAGTATTTCTGTCCTTTCTGCAAGTGTAGGTAACCCATTTCCTTTCTCCTTTGCAGTTATGGATCCTGATGACGCAAGGGAGGTAATTGCCGAGGTAATTGCCGGCGAGGCATTGGAGGAGGTCCTGGAGGGAGACCTGTTGAGAGCAAGGATGGGGCCACCCCCACCCCCAGGGTCCGCCCGCAAGAGAACTTGGCTCCGTAAGCTCCGACGGGTGAAGGGCAAGCTCCGTGCTGGGACGAGGGATTCGCCTCAGTCGGCTTCGGCCACTGGAGGAGTTCCCCTTGCCCCAGCCGGAGCTTGGAGTATGGGGAAGGGGCGTGGGGCTCTGATCGATTGCCCACCCACTCCAGTAGGGCTTGGTAGGGGGCGTGGGGCTTTGGTTCATTGCCCACCCACTATAGTAGGAAGGGAGAGAGGGTTTGTTGATAGAGGGCTTGGTAGGGGGCTTGGTAGGGGGAGGAACCCACCACCTCCTCCAGGGGGTATGGATAGGAGGCTTGGTGCTCCTCCTTTGAGGAGCCCACCTCCTCCCGGGGCGATGGCAGGGGGTAGAGGGAAAGGCATGCTGAACTACATGAGCCGGGTCATGGCCTCCAGCTCTCCAAATGCCATCCCACTGTCCGGATTCAGTTCAATGAAGTTAAGTAATTAAGTTAATATTATTATGCTTTATTATTGATTAATATATTAAGTTATGTATGTTATATATTAAGTTAGTTATGTTAAAATAATCAAATCAGTAAGTCCTGAAGAGAGCTATATGAAAACTAGCTATTATTGCTTATTTATTGATTAATATATCAATACTCTTTACATGAATACATAATACAAGTAGTATTGAGTAAAATGGATACATTAGACATTATACATATAAATAATGACAAGGTATAATACAAGTATAGTATTGTTCAATTCATGGATCTGAGATGCACGGTCCTACGTGCTATCAGGATCTATGAATTGAACAATACTATACAGCATCTTTTGGCCAAGTTTGAGTATTCTTTGATCAGACCGTTCAACGATGTTATGGAACGCCTCTCTGGCATAGGCCTGACCACCGATCTGTATCTATGAACACTGTCTACTAGGATATTTTCGTTTCTTATTTTATCACTTACCAATACCATCAAAAACAGGAATCTCGATCACGCCTGGAGCTCATAATCTTCCCAGACCTTCAAGAGTATAGGACTAATTTTCCTGTGGAAACTATATTGGAATTTTCCTTGGTGAATCTCCTCTCTTCCTTTGATTTGATGTCATGGCTGGGGCAAAGAACAAGCCAACCGGCCCCAGCAACTTTCTTTTGTGGTTACTCCATCGCATGTACACGGTAAGGATCACCATACTATGGGTCATGACCGTGCTTCTGGTGTGTGTGTTCCTGATCTGGGGCTACGTGGATCAGTTCTGTGAGCATTGTGTGGAGCTGGATAACCAGAAGCAAATGGCAGGAGGAGATGGGAGGATCCAGCAACGGGATCAGTGGCCGACAGCCAGCAGCAACTCATGTATGACAGTGAATTTTGCCGAGGAGGGCAGTCAATCGCTTGTAGCATTGGCCAGTTATCCAGGCTCGGGCAACACCTGGCTGAGGCATCTATTGGAACACTCTACCGGCATTTATACAGGCAGTGTCTACATTGACAGGAGACTCAAAGAGGGCGGTTTCCGCGGAGAGAGTGTCAACTTTATGAAGAAGAGTGTCCTTGGTGTGAAGATGCACCGATGCAGTAAGAATGAGCTGGGAAAGTTTGAGGCACTTATCCTTCTTGTCAGGAACCCGTATCATGCGATGATTTCAGAATGGCATAGATACCACTCCACTGGACATGTGAACAAAGTTGATGAAGATACATTCCACACGAAAGAATGGGAGGACTTTGTCGAAGAGGAAAGCAGCCACTGGGAAAGAATGATGCGCAACTGCTTAAAGGACTCTCTTAAAACCAAGGTCGTGTTCTACGAAAACCTTCAAACAAACTTGGAATTTGAGCTTGCAAATCTTCATCTATTTCTCAGGGTACCTATCGATATTGAAAGATTAAAGTGCGTGAAGGGCAACTCCGAGGGGAAGTTTCACAGGGGGGCGGATCAAGAGTTTGACCCCTATACAGAAGAAATGGTTGCTAAAATCAACAAGAGGATCCTAAGTGCTGCTGTTGCACTCAAGGAGAGGGCAAATGTTAAATTTCCGGTGGATTATAGGAAATTACCAGGCTCATAGCACAGGTTTCTTGGTGTGTAAAGGTGGATGCATGTTGAACTGTGGACTGCAATTTGTAGGTGCTACCTAATATTATCTGCTTGAAGCTTTGGATATGACATGTTTTCTGCTACCAAGTCCAAGATATTTTGTCCCTTAATTTATAAAAAGATATGGGAGCATGCGGCCTCAACCAGGCGGATGTCGAAAACCGGGAGGCTTGGAGAAAAGCCATAAAGGAAATGGAACGTCATCCATCCCACAACTTGATGACTATGATGTCACTGACTTCATCACAGTTTTCAGTGTACCTGATGATTCTGTGAAGTTGACATAACCTCTATGGCTTGAATGAGAACGAATAAAAAAGAAAATGTTATATGTGATGATGTTGAATATTGATAATTTTTTTCCTTATTCTTGGAAACGTATGGGACAGCAAATGACCAAATACCTTTCGCCTTCCCCTCCATAAATCTTAGTTGCATAAATTCAGAGGATAAAACACGATGGATCATAATCTGTGTAGTATTTGTTTAATGTTAATCTTTGTTCAGGAGGTCAAAGTTCAACATTAGTCTCGTTCATTTTGATATCCTTTCATACGGTTACAGACAACTAATATCAGCTAGTGTAGAATGTATATTAAAAGGTTCATATTAACAAGAAGTTAATGCACTGTATATAAGCACTCCATACAAGCAAGCAAGACGTTGTTTCTTTTGTTGTTATCAAAGGCCTCTCGCAAATTGGCAACTTGCAAATTGGCAACTCAGATGCTCAGTACTTGTGTGAATAGTTACAGGGCCTTGCATGTTTTTTTGTTATTGAATATATGGTTACAGTAGAGTGTATTGATTAAGTCAGTGGGGCCAAACGTAGAAGGATGCCAAACAAGAAATGGCCAACTCATTATTTTAATGAACACTCTAAATATCAGAATTATGGTCATTTATGATATCAAAACGGGGTTTTTAATTCTGACAGCATTTAAAGAATGCCATTAACGCCCATATTTTCCTATGTTCTTCCTCAACTTCTTTCCCAAATTCAGTTTATTCATTATGAATAGAACATAATATCTTCTTGTTACAAGCATTCCAAGAAAATTAATTGACCTCTCAAAGTACAGTATTATTTTACACCAATTGTTAGATAGATCCCATTGTGATTTTCTGTAAAGATTGCAGACATATTCTTGTTTTCATGAGAGTGGAATACGTAGTTAGTCGAGGGGGGGGGGCGGAAGGAATAACTTTATCAGAAGTTTCTAGAGCAATTTCCCTTAAGCGCTTCCCATTAAACAATACATAAATTTGTGTCCAGATGTACAACTTGTTGGTAGAATTATATGTTAATAAGCTTATTGTATATGTGCAGCAGTTTCGTAGTACTACACATACTTATTGTGTATGTTTGTGTGTGATGTCTTTTGTTCAATTGAGTGCATGCGTGTATGAATAATGAATTTTGTTATTTATTTCATTTTCATGTTCAGTGTTCCTATCATTTGACATTCTATACAAAGTCAGCAAACCAAATAACTAGAATAAACCATATGACTATTTTCAAAGGCACTCATTGCAATGAGTGGAGAGAAAAATAATCACTACGCATCTCTTTATGTACCTTCATGTAAATGTTTAAAACATTTTTATGCCTCCGCCCACCAAAGGTAAGAGACATTATGTTTACGGATTGTCCGTATGTGCGTATGTGTGTCCGCCTGCTTTCTGGTTAATGCAATATCTCAAGAACCACTTGAGATATGAACTTCAAAACTTGACGATAGTACTGGTATGTATCATCATGGGAAGAGTAACTAGATTAAAGGTCAAAGGTCACAGATCAATTTTTGAAATTCTAGATATAGCCTTGTTACCGCAACGTCTCAAGAACCACTAGAGATACAAGGCTCAAACTTGGTGATAGTATGTATCATCAACATAGGAAGATAATCCATTTGGGTTCAAAGTTCAAAGGTTACAGAGGTCAATTTAAGAAATGACATGCTTTAGTCTTGCTATTGCGATATCTCAAGAACCATTGTGATATGTCACTAATAATTCCAACCATTTTGTATACTGGATTTAGGGCGAAGACATATAGGAGACGCAGTTGCATTTGTCTCTTGTTTTATTATGCAATCATTATTTTGTCCTTTATGTAATCAACATTATTGTTATCATTCAGATTTGCGTTTGTGGTAGTGGTGTCTAGTTGTTTTATCTGTATTTGTATATGTACAAATTGAAATGCCTTGCAATATTGTGAATTCCTTTTTTTTTTCTGTCTGTCTCAAACAAAGTCAAGTAGCCCTTGGGCTTAGCTTAACAAAGCATGAAGTACAAGGGCTTATTTTGCAATTATTATTCTTTCACAGATTAGTTCTTATTTCATGTATCAGTAAATTTGTACACTTTACTTTTCGTATAGAAAGACATAAATGATTTAATGAATATGAGTAATACCCGGTCATAATATTCAGGATTTATATAGCACTTAATACATCTATGACGTCTTAAAGCACTTTACAGATACACTATTACTCTTGTAGTGCACCTTCTCTACTTCATTGAGAGCATTTGAACTAACGCTTCATTGATGTATTTTTCATAAAACTTTTTTATTAATATGGGGAATTATTAATATGGACCGCACGCATGTGCGTGCGTTGGATGGCGTTCCATACTTGATTAGCACGTACATGCGTGCGTCCTATATAAGCAGGTTATCCGCACACATTTTTTTTTTTTTTTTTTTTTTTTTTTTTTTTTTTTTTTTTTTTTTTTTTTTTTTTTTTTTTGCACCACCACTCACAAAAGCCCACATTTTGTTTGTTTCCCCTAAAAAGTTTAATTATCCAATGCAACATGTATTATAAACACCACTCTATCACAAAATTGTTTTTCTTTTGATCGAAGATTCATTAAAGTCTGCGAGGTCGCTCAAAGCCAATTTCCCCGGAAAAGTACCCTCTTGATTTTATAATTGTTGATCAATTCCTTTCTTCTTTCGAGTTTCCAGATTATTTATGTATCCCAAAGGGAGCCCCTTGTCTACACCCGAGAGACAGGACGGTGTCTGGACGGTGTCTTAGAACGGACAGGACTACGCGGTAACCTACAGGATACAAAAATCTACATTTTGTCGTATTTTTATTTATTTATTTATTTATTTTATTTATTTTTTTTCTTCATCTATTTTCTCTTTCATTTCATTTTAAGGGGGAAAAAAAAGAATAAAAAAAAAGAGAGAAGCCTATATTTAAATTATATTTTTGATACTCTTACTTTTAAAAAAAAGAGAAAGAAAGAAATTAATATTAAAAAGAAAGGCGTTGGTGATAATAGTCAGGTTTTGACTGATTGCCATTACAACAAAAAACAACAACAACAACCGTCGGGGCAGAATTACCAGTAACCAGATTAACAGAAGTATAGACTACGCATCGGAGTGCACTACAAGCAACGGAGATCATCACAGCAACCAGCAAAGGACAGCATCGACGGATTCTGACATATAGTGACGACTCTGGTGAGTAGATTTTACTTTATAGGCCTAGACCTCTAGATCTAGTCCCGTATGTTTAAATGTGTGTGCATTTTAAGTAGACTGATTGCCTTGTGTTTTAGGTAGAAGTTAACCAAATTTACAGTAAAATGAGACTTATGTCTCAGGAAATATGAATAGGTCTAGATCCTATAGACTATACATATTTGATATTGGAATAGGATCTACTAGAATGGCCGACAGTTGGATAGTGATGGCAATTAGTAAATGTAAAAAAGGAAAAGAGCTAGGCCATGAAAACGATAGATTTGTCGATCTTGATCTGAATATAATAGTCTATGTATTGATGAGCTCTACTTGAGGATCTACATGACAGGGGCGTATGAAGGAATTTTTCGAGGGGGGGGGGGTTAAAATTTGAAAATCGTGCCGAAAATTTCACATCGACTCAGCCAGCCGGTGAATGAGAGGGGGGGGGGGGGGTCGGTTAGAGCATCTATTTTTTCCCGAAAATATGAATTTGGCAGACCGATATTTTGTTCAGTTGATGGTAAGGTCACCTTTTTGGGGTCACCCTTTTGGGGTCACCCTTTAGCACAAAAATATTTCCCCATGATCTAGTGCGATAAGGGTTCTTTTGTTACCGTTATTCTTCAGGTTACAAACTTAAATTTGATTGTCTTTTTCCTTTTATTTATCAGTTGCAGCATCATCAAACACTATATGGCCGATGAATCAGAAGATGACGTAGATGCTACGAGAGAGCTCATTTCACAATGGACAACAGAAGTGATACGTGACTTTCTACAAGGAGGGGACTCAAGCTTGGAGAAGTCATTATTTTATGGGTGTTCTCTGCCCTGACGCTGGGGGTACTGTTCAGCCATTTGAGGTAGAGAGGTAGAGAGGAACTGGACAATGGATGGATGGGGGGGGGGGGGGGGGAAGAAAGGCATGTAGAGATGGCCGTCTACTATGTATAGAGACATTTGTGTGCTACTGGATAAGGACCCTCCATCACTAGAGGGAAGAATAATGAGAGACTACAAAGAGGGGAAGGCATTTAGTTATTTTGCCAGTTTCTGGTTAGGGAGACATTTGTTTCATCTCCTGGGAGAAAGCTGTCTGAAATTCAAAATGTATTTGATACTTGAATAAATTTAGTTCATTTTCTAGACTGGTTCATGTCAAACCATTGATTCTACTTTCTTGTGAGTATACACTGTAGTCAGAGAGAAAGAGAAGTAACACGAGTAAAGAATGAAAATTGAAAAAGAAGCCAATATTTGAACGAGGAGGAGAAAAAGGAGATTACGTTGTTGCCCATCAAGTTGGAATAATTGTTCTTACTGTTTGTACATAATGGTCATATATTATAAGAACTGTATTGATCAATCTCAGGAGTCTTATACATGTAGATTGATTAATACAGTTTTGAGATGATGATGATGATCGTGATGATGAACGAGAAGGAGAAGAGGAGGAATATATCAAGAGTTGATGAAGAAAAGATTGATAGAGGGGTTATCATTACAGAGAGAGAGAAAGAGAGATAGACTAACATGAGGAAGGGAGAGCAAAAACAAGGCTATGACATAGGGGAAGAGATAGAAATCAAAATTATATTTATACAAACATTTACTAAACTAAAATAATAAATTAGAATACAAGGCGAGAGGAAAGAATGCAAACTAAAATTAAGCAAAGACCATCACTATATCGTTCACATTATAATATAAATTAAGAAAAGGTACATGGAAACATGTACGTTTGTAAAATTCAATCTTTCATTCTCTTGATCTTCCTCTTCACACCTAATTCTTGCTCTCCCTGTCTATCTCTCCCACCCCTCTCCGTCTCTCTCTCTCTCTCTCTCTCTTTCTCTCCCCCTCTCTCTCTCCTTATTATCACTCTTTCTCTTTCATTAAGTGTCAACATCTCTCTCAATGCCTCTCTCTGTTTCTATGTTTCTCTTGTTAAATATTTTAAACATCAGGTCTGTCTGACCTTCCTCTCTTGAATAAATCATGAATAACTTCAACTCAGTGTCCTACATACAGTAATGATTGCTTAGTAGTCATCTACAACCCTCGCTGTGTTGTTTGATTTTATTTATAAAATAAATATAACCATGAGATCAATATCAACAGGTTTAATGCAATGCATATAAGTTGACATCCTATGAAGAAGTAGTACCACCCCCCCCCCCCCCCCCCACCACTCCAGGAACGGAGGTACCGCATGCGTGTTCCCAAATTCTCTGGCTCGTAACAAAATTAAAAAAATTAAAATATAAAAAAAAACGCTACTTTTAAAGCGCTTACCACCAAAATCTCTAAGCGCTATAACAAACAAAAATAGACTGATAAACAATTACATATTAAACAAAACAAAAAAAGTGTGAATAACCTACAAATTACAATACATATACCGTACATGTACATCAAAGTGAACAGAGTCTGGCAGCAGAGTTTTGGATTCTCTGGAGTTTTGCAATGAAAAAGATCTGCCCGTATTGACTTAACACAGGGGACTTATGCTAAAAAAAAGGGGGGGGGGGTGCTGGGAACACGCATGTGCTTACCCTAAATAACACTGAGTTGGGGGGGGGGGTACCACCTTTAATGCAAACGCATTTAAAGGGATCCGGTAACTTTATCTCAGATTCTGAAACAAAATCCTGGATTTAGCTCATGCTGCAATGATAGTTTTAGGTCAGTCAAGAACTCAATGACTTTTACAATCCAATCGCCTGTCTGATTATCAAGATATTTACGATTGGAAAAAAAATGTACTAGAATTATGTCCCGGCATGCTTTGCGATGAAACAACCGTGAAGACACGGATAATTATCTGGCGGCCGCCAGTTAATTATCTGGCGGCCGCCAGTTATTTATCTGGCGGCCGCCAGTTAATTATCTGGCGGCCGCCAGTTAATTATCTGGCGGCCGCCAGTTAATTATCTGGCGGCCGCCAGATAATTATCTGGCGGCCGCCAGATAATTATCCGTGTCTTCACGGTTGTTTCATCGCAAAGCATGCCGGGACATAATTCTAGTACATTTTTAACTTCGCCGTGATCAGCTGTCCCGTTGCAAACAACGGGATTCTTATCGAAGCAACATCTTAATCTTGTACATAATCCGCTATTCTGCAGTGATTTTCTTTCACTCTAGTATCATTTGTACGGTAAGAAACCAAAGTTTGTGTTTATTCATTTTTATGACGAATAAAGCTGATAATACGACGTAATGAGAGTGGGCCGGGGTCCAACTTTAGTAAATGTAGGCCTAGATCTAACTTTAGTCCCGTATGTTTAAATGTGTGTGCATTTTAAGTAGACTGATTGCCTTGTGTTTTAGGTAGAAGTTAACCAAATTTACAGTAAAATGAGACTTATGTCTCAGGAAATATGAATAGGTCTAGATCCTATAAACTATACATAATTGATATTGGAATAGGATCTACTAGAATGGCCGACAGTTAGATAGTGATGGTGATGGCAAATGAATTAGTCTGAGTCTAGGCCCTAAATGTAAAAAAAAGTAAAAAAGAGGCCATAAAAACGATAGATTTGTCGATCTGGATCTGGATATCAGGCGCGTACGCAGGGGGGGGGGGGGGGGTGTTTTGGGGGTTAAACCCCCCCCCTTTGGCATTTTTTACGTGTGTATTTTTAAGAAAAACCCCCTAAAACCCCCCTTTGTTTTGTTTAAAACCCCCCTTGAAACAATCCTGCGTACGCCCCTGCTGGATATAATAGTCTGATATCGATGACCTCAACTTGAGCATCTACATGGGTCTACATGAACTTGTGTTAAAGAAGTGATAAGGATTCTTTTGTTACAATTATTCTTGTGGTCACAAACTTAAATTTGACATGCCTTTCTCCTTTTATTTATCAGTTGCAGCATCATCGAACACGA